CGACAAATTCTTCGTATAGGATAAATACAGGCACCCCCTATGGTAAGATTTAAAGGTGAAAAATCCTATGTTGTTTGAGTGGTTACAACCACCTCTTAGCTACAAATATTTTACACGTTAATTTTTATGGTGTCAAATTCAATATAATACTTTTAACTTTTGTGAATATTCTCTAGTTTGTATTCGTTTAGTGCAAAAAAAAAACAGTTTCTAATGCAACATAATCTGATATTTACAAGCCAATAAACACACCTTATGATCATCTTGGTTCAATATGTAGAGCTCGAATGGGATAAAACGAGTGCAAACTTGAGAATATTCCACGTAATCTAGAAAATTCCACTAAATTTGACACTGCAAGGGTGGACATGTTAAAAGATTCATAGCTGAGGGGATGGTTGTACAGTTGTACTTACCTTGAAAGAGATTAAAAAGGTGCTGACAAGTATGATTAATTAGAGGAAATGCTATTTGCGGTTAGAAAATTGATATTTACGGTTTATAACAAAAAATATTTTATCTCTCTAAAACCCCAAAACTTTCCAAAAAAATCCAAAAAACCCCCCAAACTGCAAATAGCAACAAAAAAAAAATCGAAAATTTGAAATCAAGCTTGAAGAAGGGTTGGGCTTCGATTTTTTGATGTAATTTCTACTCTTTTATGTGTAATATGCATTGGGTATATCGATTACGGAACCAATTTCATGTTAAAAAGCCCTACAAATCGATTTGTAGGGCTTTTTTTTTTCGCAAAAACATGTTGGAACGCCCAAGATGGGGGTCCAAATGCAGCTTGCACGCCCAACTTGGGCGTGCACTGCATGAATGGGCGCCCAAGTTGGGCTTTTACGCGTTTTGGGGGGTTTTTGGATTTTTTTAAGAAGTTTTGGGGTTTTAAAGAGATAAAGTGTTTTTTGTTATAAACCGCAAATAGCAATTTTCAAATGGTAAATAGCAAGTCCCTTAGATTAGGAGAGCTATATAATTACAAAGCAATTAGCACCACATCTTAGAGGAAAAAAAAAGGGGTAACATTACCAAAAAGAAATAAAAGCATGCCTAAGTGGAATTATTAAATTAAAAGTACAATATTTCGATCTTGATTAGTAATTAATTAATGTAAATTATTTGACTCTATCCTTAATTACATCAAACCCCATCTCAGTTGGATCCGTAGCTTGCAATTCATAATGGATTCCATCTAATGCTTTTCTCAATCCATCTTTTGATGTTGCATACAGAATTTTGTCTCTAATTCTTGATCCACTTGGAGCCCTGTTCATCACAATTATTTTCGTATCCCCTATTTCTCTTAAGGGCGTAAACGAATCGAGTCAAAACGAACATATATTTACTTAAATTTATTTGAATTTCTATCCAGTTTCGAAATCATATTTTGAGTTTGGCTTGACAAACAATCGAACCGAAAAAATATTTTAGCATTTTTTTAGTTAGGCGCATTAACAACTTATTGAACGAGAATAAATATTTAACAAATTAAAGCTCAAACGAGCTTTTAACTAAGTATCGAAAAATTGAATTTGATATTATTTTTTAGTATATATAGTGAAGTGGTAACGGACCATGCAATGAAGAAGATCTTGCTCTTGCGGCAATTGTCGACGGTGATGAAGTCGAAATCGAAGACGGCGTAGCGGCAGCCGTCCTCCGGCAAGGCGGCGGCAAGGTCGCCGTAGCATTCTCCGGCGCCGCCGACTTTGTCGACCGTCAGCATTTGAGATCTTTCGTCGATCTTGAAAACTATGTACCGATGAACCTTCTTCCACTTCATCTCCATGAACGAGTTCTTACATTCGTCCGTCACCCACATCGACGCGGTCGCCTGCGATTAACCAAAATTCAAGAAAATATATATATGTATACATAGTGATGTGTGTGTTTTTGTGTGTGAAAATGGCTGTGTTCAGTGTGTGTACCATCTTGAAAGCCATCGCCATAGATATATAATTATAGATACAAACTTTTTTGAGGTGTGAGGAGTCAACTTATTTTAGCTAATTAGCTAAGTGATGAGAATGGTTGAAATTTTATGATGATTTATATAAGATTTGATTAATGTATTTGCCACTGGTGTTGTGCAATTATTACAATTTGGCCATCTTTTTTTTGTAGATCTATGGTATGTATTATGTAATAATATATTGTATAATGGACCCAATTGTACAATATAGAGAATTTTATATATATTTGTATATATCACCAACAAATTTTTAATATTGATTATTTCATTTGATCTCATCTTGGAGAGTAATGATTGATGAATCTTACCTTAGTGAACTAATTGTTTAAAAATTGAACTTCTGGTCAAGTTTGGTTTAACCTTCTTCAGTTTATCCAATTCTTATTTCTAGAACCCAGATTAAAAAAGGAAAAAAAAAAAAAAAACACCCTTAAAATGTTTAATAATTAGTGGATTCGAACTTCCAGGCTCTTTAAGCCTCGTTTGGCCGGTGAGATTAGTCAATATTAACTCAATAATTTGACTTTGTTTGAAGTTTGTTATCCCCATTAACTTACCAGAATCGACCGGCAAATATTATATTATCATGGCGTATTTAGACTTTTCTATTATATTATCATGGCGTATTTAGACTTGTCTTGCCTTTTATAGGGTTTGTTTTGTCAGGCGTCCCGGGGCCGATAAAATAATTGGATTTTTATTAAATTATTTAATTTTATATTGACAACCAAATGGGACCTTACTGTGTTATCATGTACCGATAATTTAACAATTTATATTTTGTTTTGGGATTAAATAAAAACTAATTATTGATATATTTCATTTCTTTGGACAAGAAAATGTTGTCTGTAAATTAAGTGAAGTGAAATCTGGTTCACCTGACGTTGATATGTTGCTTGTCTGAGAGCAGTAATTAAGCAGATGAAAATGAACAGTCACGTTTATGCACATGGGTTTATTATTTAGCTCATTACTTTATTTGTACAAAACCTCTACAAGTGATATAAAATGAAATGTTTCGTTCCGTTTTGTATTTATCAAACTTTCGTATTTTCATCGTGTCTATTCTCATTGTAAACCATACAAACGATCGACACTTATATGGAGATAAACTCGAACTTATAATTGATGTCTTGTTCGGAAATTAGGATTAAATTCGACAAATAATACAATCAAGTTTTGTCAAAAAGGTTTCATGAGACGATAACGAGACGCTGATATTTTTTTTTTCTTTCTTTAAACAAATCACAGGTGATCAAATATACAGTGATGTTGCAGTCAATAGTTTAATTAAACAAAAACGAGAGAAGGATGGAGACGAAAGAAATCTAACCGACTGAGATCTTGGATGCTTTTTATTTGTCACGTTATTGAAATTCGACTATCTTCTTCCGACTCGTTCTTCGATATTTCCCCAGAATCAGAAATGATTACTTTCTTCCTCGGCTTACCACTGTAGGTCCCGGCACTCCCCTCGATTGCGTACACTGTATCCATTCCGTCGATGACTTTGCCAAAAACAACATACTCACCATCCAACCTGTGTATTTTATTTTATTATTTATTTTTTTGATCGAAATGTGAATAATTTTCTTTTTTTTTGACCGAAATGCTACGTCGGAAAATCAGCCTTACCAGTAGGCCTTGACTGTTGTGATGAAAAACTGTGACCCGTTAGAATCGGGACCTGAATTCGCCATGGCCAGAACACCTGCAAAAGTGATTAGAAATAAATAAAATTTAATAGAAAAAGATTCTTGAAGTATTAAACAAGATACTGGAAGATGATTGTAGACCTGCATGCGAGTCTTTTAACTTGAAATTCTCGTCGTGAAAAGTGCCACCGTATATAGATTGGTTTCCTCTTCCATCTCCAGAGGCAATATCTCCACCTTGTATCAAGAATCCAGGTATAATACGATGAAATGGGGTTCGCTTATAGTGTAGAACTTTCTTATTTACGGCTTTTCCCATCTCCCCTGTTTCCAAAAGAAGACGGTTAACAAACGAGGTAAAGGATGAAGAAGAAGCCATATCAACTTGACCTAAAATTGTGAATGAAAAGTACCTGTACACAAAGCCCTAAAATTCTCTGCAAAGAAAATTGTAAATCGAAACCAGGAATTAAAGCAATGCATACAAATAAATCAAAAGTAGTCTATCGAAAATGGAGAACATTCGAGTAGAAGATAGAACACATTACCCACAGTCTTTGGCACAACTTGACCATATAATCCAACAGTAATTCTACCTGTAGATATCGAGGATTCGCAATACTTTAAAATTTATACTGCATCGAGAAGATGAAAGTTCAGCATTGATAGGTGGGTATACCTATACGTTGTTCATCTATGTCGACATCCAAAAATACGATATGGGTGATCTCGTGGACCTTTTCTGTCTTCTCTACCTGCTGGAGTTGTAAAAGACGACAAAAGTAAGAAATGGCAGCAGAATTAGGATAAAACACAACTACACGACAACTGTGTTATATATGTATGTTTAAAATCTATGGATTTTTTTTTTTCGTGATTGTTATCCTAATAATGTAGCAAACAAGATCACAACATTGGAAAATGAAAGTAACGATAAATTTTCTTTTGACAGATAAAGATAAAAGCAAGTCGGCTGAAACATAAACAGCAAAATAGAAAAGGTTAAATAAATGCAGTGTGAATTTTCATGGACTACCTACCCTAAGTTTGATTTCACATTCTATGATTCTACATATTGATTTGCAAAATGCATATTACAACGGAACTCTCAAATTCATTGATTTGCAAAATGCAAATTAGACACACACACACACACACACATACACACACACACTCACAGGCGGCATCTCAAATTCAGAAGGAAGAGAAAGCACATGAAAACAACTATCACCCATCATGTAGAAGTGCAATCAGATCTAAATCAAACAAATTGAAAATTGATAATTCAGCTCAATCATCAAATTAAACAACAAGCATCAGAATCACAGGAATTCAGAGAAGCAATAATTGCGAAAAGTTCAAAAAAAAAAAGAAAAGGTCACTGAACGGAGAAACTTTTTTTACCTGTCGAGAGAAGGAGAAAGCGAGAAAGACGAGAACTAAAGCCGCCGCGAAAATCAGCAAGCTCTTCGGCTGAATCAACGCCGGCATCTCTCTACCGTAAATCGCCGGAACAATGCATACTGTTGACAGCACAAACCCTACGACCGATTTTTCTCCGGCTTTAAGTACTAAACATGCTGCATTAAACACAAATCGAAAGCTAAATCGATAATCGTTTTCTCTCCGTGATCGAGGCAAAGAACAACACAGACGGATTATTGCTTTTTAATTTATTTTTATTTTCATTTTTAGTGTAAATTTCACTTTCCACTTGTAATTTTATTGATATCACTTTACCCTCTCTTAATCTCGATTGCATCGATTTTTCAACCTGTATTTGAAAAATTATCTCAATGTGGTCATCGTCGTTAAATTTTCAGACTTTCAACCCTAACACCATACGATCTAAGTCTCAAAATTACAAAAAATTCAAATCTCCCAGTTTAAATAATTATAAAAATAATAAAAAAAAAAAAAATTGTGGCTGACGTCATGAACTATATGCTCTTGTTGTCTTGAATTTTTTATTATTTTTTTTTTTGTTTTTGTTGTTTTTTTTTAATAATTATTTAAACTGGGAGATGTAACGTTTTGGTAACTTTATAGCTTACATCTAACGATGTTAGGGTCAAATGTGTCAAAACAAAAAACAATGGCCACACTGAGACATTTTTTCAAGTCTAGTGGGGCAAATAGATGAAATCGAGAGTATGATAACGTAAAGTGGTATCAAGACAATGTAAAAGAGGGACTTTACCCTTATTTTTATTGGTCTGATCTGTTAGCATTTGGGCTGCCACTGTTGCGCCTCTCCTTGGATAATATAATACATGCAATGGCCCACCAACTCAAATAATTGAAACCAGCCCAATGTTATAATATTACAGTTTTATTAGTTTTCTTATAGTGTGTTCAAATTTTAAACAGCTAATAAGTTTTTAAGTCTGATAAATTTATATAAAAAAATTGTCAAACACTTTAAAAGAGTTTATAAGCTTAGAGCATCTCCCATCCTTACACTATTTTTTCACCAAATTCTATTTTTTGTGGTGAAAAAATAGTGCTATCTCCCACCCGTAGCACACTATTCTATAATTTCTGACAAAATAATGTATTTGGTCTCCCACCAATTCCATCAAATTTTACACCAAATAATAAAATATTAATATTTCACCATTTTACCATTTATAGAGAATAGGATTTGGTTTGGTCTCCCATGGTATTTCACCAAATTTATTACAAAATTATAATTTTAATGTTAATTGTAAATGTAGTCTATTTTATTACCAAAATATTGATTATGAATTTGATCTTAAACAATGATTTTATTGAGTATATATTTAAAATTATGATAAATATCAAAAATTTATTGAAACATAAATGAAAATCGACTTAGATTATTGTACATATAATAAAACCACGAATAAACAATAATTATTTTCTAAAAACCTTACAACATAAATTAATCATAAAAACACTACAACATAAGTTAATTATAAAAACATTACAACATTTTTTTTGGCCAGAAAAATTATTCATTGATAACAGGGGCCTCGTTAAAATCTTGTTTGGCATAACAAGGAAAGAGTACCCCTTATTAGCAGATGAGTCTCATTCACCATTATTATCGTTATCATCTTCAACATCATCTATTTGATCACGTTTAACCCATAAATGTACTACTAATCTTTTCCTTAATTCATTATGCTCTCCTCGATTTATCAGATTTCGATGTCGACTAAGAAAATAACATATTTTGTGGACCAGCTAGTACTCCACAAGAAATTCTGGGGTCTTTTTTTTCTTT